GGCGACGGCGCCTGGCGGCGCTGCGCATGCGCACTGCCGCACCCCGCTTCCCGCGCAGCGCTGGCGGCGCCCGAGAGCCGCGCCCGCTCCTGCGGCGACCCAGGGGAGACGTGTCTACCCTGTCCCCGCCGGCGAGGTAGGGCGGGCCCTATTATCAGGATTACATAGCACACTGCTGCTGAGGGACCTTGGGCAGGATTAGAGCACTTACCGCCGTGCATCACCTTATGCACGCACACTCTTTCCCTCAAGCTAAACCCTCCAGTTCTACAGTGTCCCCTTGCACAGAGAGGGTTGTGCCCAGAGGGCTCCTTCCTGCCTTCCAGACTGGCAGTCTCCTGTTCCATGATGCCAAACTCGGCCTTGTACTCCAGACAGCTCCTGTGTGGGCCACACAGAGCTCCTGGGGGTGGCTCAAATGTCAAAACAGGGGTCCCAGGCTGGACAGAGGCCACACAGAGCTCTGGAGCACAAGGGGAGCCCAGGAGCAGGTTGTGAGAGGCTTCGAGGAATGCTGCAGGGGCACGAGGAGGTTTGGGGAGACTAGGGAAGGACTCAGACATCCTCAGTGGCATAGAGAGGAAAAAGACTGTTTGGAGTCATAAAGAAGGGTTGTGAGGGGAGCAGGGGTGCCCTGAGGGGGCATGGCAGGGCCATGGGGCTCGAGGAGGATCTCTTTGCGATGGGCCTAGGGAGGCCCTGAGGGGTAAAAGGCAGCTCAGAGAACTAACGGGGTCCTTGTGGTGGGATGGGAGGGAAAAGGGAAGTCTAAGGCAGAGACAACTCCTCCCAGCTGCCCCATGCCACAGCACTCCTCGCGATGTGATGCCTGATGGCATCTCCCCCAGCAGGTCACACGGGAGAGGCCATTCCTCCCACATCCAGGAGGTCTGGAGGGGCTCTGGCTGCAGCCACAACCTCCCCTGCAGCCCCAGGGCTGACCCAGGGGGCTGAGGAGCCTTGGGATGCTACAGGAGCCCCATGATGTGGGGCACTTTTTACTGAGTGCAAAGGCACAGAGACATGAGTTGAATGAATAAAGCAATTGTTTATTAATTAATGACTACACACAACACCCAGGAGTGAGCCTGTCACCCGAGGAGCTATTACCAATGATCAGCCTGGTAGGGAAGGGCCAGCTCCTGCTTGTGATGTGGCAAGAAACAAAGGAGCTGCCAGCCTCCCCCCTGCCCTCTCCCTCAGGGGTAGGATTCAGCACTGGTATTTGAGAGGAAAAACCCTGTTTTCACCCACCTGTACTTCTTCCTAACCTCCAGAACAGAGCCCTGCAGGAAATTTTCACATTTTTTACAAAATACAGTGATAAACTCTTAACCCCCGAGTAAGAAACCATCCACTACAAACTCAAAACAATGAACCATAAGTGAAGGACTCCAAATCCTCACTTTTAAGCAAGAAACACCAAAGCACACACAAGCAGAGAAACAGCAGAGAGAAGCAGCGGAGTTTCCCTTGGAAGCGCAGCAGAGCACTTCCACTGAACCTACCTGCAACACCAAAAGCACTAATATATCTGCGTTAGGGATAATTTTTTTTTTCCCCCCACCCCAACGACTGACAAGAAAACGCCTCACAGAACAAACTACTGCAGCTGGGGGAATAGTTCATATACAAAACAGACTCTTTTTTAGCCCATTCCTGACACGATGAACGTCAGTCGCCGGAGCGCTGGGCCTGCCCGGGGCCCGCGCCGAGGAAACCGAGCCCCAGCTCCCCGCTGCCCCCCAGGACCTGCCCGGGCGTGGGGCAGAACCGGTGGAACCTTTTATCGGGTTGCCGAGACCGGCGGACGCTTGGCATCACAGCGGAGGTGGGTAGGGAGCCCTGACAGACAGACAGCAGAGACAGCCAGTAGCAGGCGACAACCCGCAGGGGGCGGCTCTCGTCGCACCAATGAGCGGCGGAGGAGGGCGGGACTTCCCGGAAGTGGGTAGCGGTGCTGGGGGCAGCTGTGGGGTGGCACCGGTGTCTGAGTGGGGGTCGCAGCTATGTCGGAGCGGAAGGTGTTGAACGTGAGTTGAGGGGGGGGTCTGGGGGGTCCCCAGGCCGGGGCTGGCCATGGGGAGGGTTCCCTGATCGCTGCGGTTGGGCCTCAGACCGGGGGTGCTGGGCAGTCCCCGCTCGGCTGGGGCGGC